GTGTGCATTTGTTGAGCCCACAAACTCAATTCTTGGGGCATCTGCCGCTGCTCCAAGCTACGTTCACTCCGTCTGTCCCATATATTCCCTAATTTTGAGGGGCTAAATGATGATAGAAGCAGCCCGCTATTGGGGGGAAAAAAAAACGCTATAACTGGCAACGGCTGAGTGCTAATGTCACCCGGGGATTGTGCTTACTCAAGCAAACTTTACCGCCGGCGTAGGATGTGAACCTGGCGAGGCACTTACATGCCGCCGGAACGCCGGTCTGTAATTTCCGCAATTTATTTTACCAAACGTCAAGATGATACGTTTGCAAGGGGAAAAACAACTTTGAGTACAGTTGTAATGAAGCTTGTTTGTTACAATGGCGGCGGTTTTTCCAATACAAAAAGTTCACGCCGCCATGTTTTACTTTACGCAAAGATCTCGTGGGTGAGCGAGGACATTTTTTAATTTTCCGTCGCGGTCTCAACGTCCGAAAACGACCTTCTCAAGGATATACCGCTACCAATCAAAAACGAATAAGATATTCATCAAAGACTGGATCTGAGTGCGTGGATGCCACACAGCCTGGGAATTGAATAAAGAAAGCACACCCCCCCCCCCCTCGCCCCTTGTCATCATCAAAAAAGCCAAACACTCGGCATATCCGCCAACCTGCCGGCTATGACTGACTCAAATAAAGAAATTCCCTTGAATGACTCAGGGTATTAGTAAGGATGGAAATAGTCGTACAGCCTGAAGCCCCACCAAAATAAATATTTTTTTATCCCCTCCAAAAAATAACAATAGCAGGCTTACTTTGCGATGTACAGTATTACAATGAAACGTGGGAATGAATTCTCACACCCTATTCCTTACTTCTTCATTTTTCACAAAGCCTTTGGCCTTTTTCCCCTTTGATGTACTCTTGTCGAGGTTCACGTTTTGAAAGTTTGGGCTTTTGCACAGTTGTAGTATACAAGATTGCCCCTTTTAAGCCGTGCAGTTTTTTGTATATGAGACTGTAAATGCACGTTTCAATCACATCTTGTCATTTTGTGCTCTGACGTTGAGCGGTTGGCAGTCGGCGGTATTTTAAAGACAGTCGGATGGAAATAACGAAACCATCAAAAATATCCCCTGTGATGTGCGGTGTGAACTTGTCTTAAAAAGTGGTAAAATTGCCCTATTCAAGTCGAAAATTGGTCACGGATTGTTGTGAGACCTTTGACTTGGAGGAAAAAAAAAGGCTCAGGAGTGAATCAAAACGCATTCCCTCTCCTGACCTAGAAAATGTGCCACAAAGAAATAACGAAAAGAATTGTTGCGTATTCACGTCCTGACACCTTTTCAACTCTTTTCTTTTTTTTTTTTCTCACAGGCCTTTGATGCCTTCATCTACATCTTTTTTGCACTGGAGATGGTGGTGAAGATGGTGGCCCTTGGAATCTTTGGTCGTCACTGTTACCTGGGAGATACTTGGAACAGGCTGGACTTCTTCATTGTCATGGCAGGGTAAGCTGCACCATGCACGTTCCCCTCTTAATATGGCTGAAAATATCCCAAGACATTTGAACGACATTAATGGAATTTTTCACCGTTTTTTTTTTTTTTTTTTTTCCCGCCCACCAGTCAGCAGTCGTGAATATCATACTGTGTATTGCAAGCAAATGCACCGCATGCTTTTGTGGGATCAGCAGTTCCACTTTAACAGAGGGCATGTAATCTTGTTTCTTTCATCAACCTTTTTTTTTCCCCCAAAATAATGCAACCAAAATACACTTTTAAGCCTGTCGTTTTGGAAATAGCTCGTCAATATGGGGTTAGGCCCTTTCCAGTGGGAAAACAAAAAATGCTTCTGGGCGTGTATGATGGATCACCTTTGAACACGGCTGTAAATGTGTCAAAGTGGCATCCGTTAGCTTATGTTAGCCTGATGGATATGTCGTCGTCAAACGCCAGACAAGGCAGAGTGTGGCAAGGTGACGGGACGTTCGTCTTCATTTAAATGGAAACAATTTATTTTCATTTGATTACTAATTGCCCGTTTTTGGGGGTGTCTGTCGGTAGACAAAATGGCTCAGGTTATATTTGGCTTAGTTGACGGTGCAATTGTGTGTCTTACTGTGGGGAGAGTTTGTGCTTTTGGACAACTGCCTCTGCCTTAAGTTCACTTTCACGCGTCTTTTAGATTAGCATCTGGGCTAATTACTGCGGGCAGTACCGGTGGTCAAATCTCGTTCCGCTCTTAGCTCTTTTTCTCGAGGTTACCTCCTCACGCTCCTACCGTAATCTTTTCTTTTCTTTCATCTTATACGGCGTATACATCAAATGTGTTTGACACCCCAAGCTAAATCCGAGGCTAGCCTAGTGCTAGCTTGTTCATTCCAATGTATAACCATGGATGTACAGCATGTAGGATTTTGGTGCAACAAAGAAGCATTCTGCCCGTTTTTTTTTTTTTGTTTGTTTTTATTCCTTCTTCACATACATGATATTCAAAGCTGGAACCAGAAATATTTATATTTTCGTGTATTTACTTTAAAACTGTCAAATCCAAGTATGTTTAATGGAAATGATGGGGCAGAAAAGTGCTTTGTTCACAAAGGAAGATCAACTTGAATGCAAACGGCGAAGCGAGCACGTTGCTAATTTGACAGTTAAGTCCCTGCAGCGTTGACATTTTGCCTTCTTAAGGCTTCTTCCTCGCTGTCAAAGCTGCGTCTTCTCCCGGGGTCTTCCCAACTGTCGGTTTCTCCTGATGCCTTTTCCATACCGTTGTGAACATATACACACACACACACAACGTTAAATAAAAGCATGCAGTACCTCCGCAGGAGGTTTGAGGCTAGCCACTAATTACTTTCTTAAACGCTGATTGACGTGCACAGCACGGACAGATCACACGCAAGGACAGTAGAGTGCTACACTCTGAGGCACAGCTGCAATATTTAATTCATCCAATTGTACCGCGTATATAATGGGATCATTAAGCTGGCGACTCCGAGTTGTTTTGTCGTATTTGCATCACGAGCACGATCCACCTGCCGTCCACCCAATTTTATGAGCCTTCAAGTTCAATGCAAGAAGGCAAGTGTGTTGAGTTTTTTTCATTTCACAACTCCCTTTTTGACGTTGTCGCCCTGATTCAGGATCTCGGCTACACACGTTCAGTTAGTTGAGCACAGATATGATCGGAATCCGAGCTGGGTGGAATAGGTTGGCCTCAAAACAACACACGAGCCTGAGTCCCAAAGCTCAAGTATGAATCGACTTACCTACTGCCTCCCAAATGGTAATGCCTTGAAATATTCCCTGAAAGTTTGAAGAAAATCAGTTGAGAACTGCGCCCGGTGGAGCAGCACCAGCTCAAATGTTTCGTGGTCCCCTCGCTTGCTGGCGGATGCAATTAGTAGCTTGAGCTGTTGCCTGTCAGCTGCGGGCTACAACAGTTCAACCTTTGTTGCGATTGCTCCGACTCAAGTGTGAGCTGCTGTCAAGTTGATGAGTCAATGCTGTCGTGAAAATCAGACAGGTTGCTGTGTGTTCCTAAAATAGTGTCGGAGTGGTGTCATGCTGCCTCAACACCGTTGCTGCCCCCCCGGGCAGAGCAATGTTGTGGACAAACACGCTTAAGGCCCACCACGTGCGGACTTACATGGCTGAACCCAAGTGGTGTGTCGCACAGTGCGGGGGCTCACCTCCCAGTTCTCATGAGTGGCCGAGCCGCAGTCAGTAGTTTTGCTGCAAGTTCTGGATCGCCAGTGAACATTGTTGCAATGTGCACGAGCTTCTATGAAAACAAAAAAAAAAAACAAAAAAAATGATGCTTCCGCCTTCTAAATGTAAGTGAGACTTCCTTGACAATCATGTCAGTGTTTTTGGTTCATTTAAAAATTATACACTACACTCTGTGGAGCCTTAAAGGGGGAGTCTACCCATAAATTTTCTTGATAATGTCTTCTATATGCGCCTTCGCTAGTCAAAACGCTGCATTCTGATTCATTTCGCATTCGTGGAATATGAGTTTAGCAGCAAAATGCAACTCTTTTTGTCCATCTCAGCGGGCAGCCATTTTGCTACTTTCTGTCAGCTGAAAATGACATCACAGTTGCTCACAGGGCTCAGTTCACGCCCGAGCACGGCTCACCTGTTTTCAGAAGCTAAACCATGATTGCTCATTAATGGAGCACTGGACAACTCTTAAGTCATTTTTCAGTCGACAGAAAGTGGAAAAATGGCCGCCCAGTGAGATGGACAAAAACGGGTAGATTTTGCTGCTTAACTTAAATTCCACATGTACAATATTTATCATTCACATTGGTTGAAATTTAGTTCTCGTGGGGGTAATAAGGTCGAACATCATCCTGAAATCAGCTACTGGTTTCTAAGAGTCCTTTATTTCCTTGGCAAATACAAAAAAAATGGTGTCCATTAATAACACGCACACACATAAAAAAAAAAAAAAAAAACCATTCAGCATTCTCCTGTGTAAAGCGGTTTGGCTTTGGGGGCACAAACAGCTTAGCCATGCTGAGGAAACTTGGTAACAGATGCCAGCCTTTAAGTGAGCCACAGCATCCTGCAGGCAACATTTGGAATATGAAGGCTTCTTTTTTTTTCCTCCCCTCCTGCTCTCATTCTCCTCCTCACCTCTCTTTCATGTAATTCCCTTCCCCTGCCTCTGAACTGCTTCTCCTATTCAACACTGCTGGGACAGGTGAGATTAGATCAAAAGAATGACCACTGATGCTAAAACCCCGACCAGGGATCTTTGGCCCACCTGGGCCCGCCCGCCCGCCCGCACTTGTCTGTTTGGCATATTTTGACAACAGGAAGATTAAAGTGTTCTTCATTCTCTCTCATTCTTGATCTCCAGCATGGTGGAATACTCTCTGGACCTGCAGAACATCAACCTGTCAGCCATTAGGACGGTGCGAGTCCTTCGCCCCCTGAAAGCCATCAACAGAGTGCCAAGTGAGGGCATTTTTTTTTTTTGTATCTACTTTTTTTTTTTTTGACATGTAACCCTCTGTGTGTCTTGGCACTCTAGAATGTGTATTTTCATAAAAGAGGGATTTTATGCATTATATCTGTGCCGCCATGCCACCTGTCCTCCATGGGGATCATGAAACATTCATGCTATCCTTAATGACAAAAATCGTAGCGAGACCCTGAGTCGCAGGTTCATCAAGTCAGTTAATGTTCTTTCATTGATCATGCAACGGGTGCTCTACTTTAATCGAAAACTTTGCGACAGACAGACCTGATGATGATACCTTATTGCAATTTGGCAAAACGCGTGGCGGGGGTTACGATCAAATGCACATCGAGGATCAAACTTGTACTTTTAAAAGAAGTCCAGAAAAGGTCACCTTTTTAATTTTAATTGCGTTAAAACTAGGTGAAAGTTAGCTGTGTTATCCATTCTAATCCCCTCCTTATTTTGGTTAGAATCCCGAACGATGCATAGATTACGTTTCATCGCACTGTATGCGCTTGCTATTTGTTACAAGTGACCCCCGCGTGTCATTACTTTGCGCTAACCCGATTCCGTCCTCTATCCGTGACCCTATTTGAGGCGTGGAAGCGGGAGGGCTTCAGACTATTTGTTGCTCATTTTGTTGGATCGCCGCTTTGCCCACAGACAACCAGAGTGCATGTGCGCCACCTCTCACCCCTCGTGCACCTCAATTTGTAACACCTTGACAAATTGTCCGATAGCAGTCCCTCCTTGCAGCGCACTCATGACCGCATGTATGAGACCGAGTGCGTTAGGTTTGTTTAGTGAATCATTGAGCTTTGAGCGAACAGGAAGTATAGGTGCAAATGGGTCAAGGGGTGCCGCAACCTGGGACGGTCACTGCGGAGGGAAATAACAACTTGAAAGAACAGAAAATGCCAGTGACGTTTCTTGACACTATTGTCAACGTGTTCCTTCCAAATGTTTTCGTGTTATCTTTTCCCTTTCCTCGATTTCTTTCTTTTTCTTGTGTCGCTTCCCGGTGCTCCTTCAGGCCATGCCTCATTCTTGTTCACCGTCTCTCAATATCACCCTCTCCTCACCCAATTAGGACTAATGGAACTCCGGTCTAATGACAAGGCCCCGTGGGAACAAACACATTTAGACTCGCCTCTAGCGCACACACACATTGGCACATGCAGACTCATACACCAGCAAGGCTGTGTGCTCTGCATGATGCGAAAATTAGCAAAGACAATGTGTGATACTTTCAAGCTAATACATTGTTGTCATGCCAAATGTGATTTACAAGATGTCTGATGAAATCAGTAACCACTGCCCTCCTGTCTTGCGACACTCTTTCGCAACTGTCCTAATACGGTATTCCCAAATGTGACAACATCTGGGGTGGATAATATATTAGCTGCGGCAGATTGGTTGCGATCACTACGAATAGTTTTTTTTTTTTTTAATGAGCTCTCGGCTCGCTTATTTTTACACTTGTATTCGGTAACCGCGCTACAGATGTCTGCTGGAAACGTCGTCAACCTGTGAGTCAGTCCCAGCGCTGTCTCATTTCTCAGCTTCTCACCTGTCACTCATCGCTACCGCGGAATAAATGCGCCGTTGCGCTGCTGACACATGAGCCGACTGTTGAGCTGTTACTCACTAATCACAGCACGGCCCATGAAAAACACAAACACACATTCATCAAAGACGGCAGTGACGCCCAAGCTAATGATTGCAAACATGCCGAGTCTTGTTTTAATCACTTAGATGACTCACAAAATACAGGGTATTCATTTTTTTTTTTTTGGGTGGCAACCAGAGATTAGCTTTCATACTTAACGTAACTGTCAGGGTTGCCGTCACTGATGACGGGGGTCCTCACACACCATTCCTAAAACGTTATGCAGGTAACACACATGCATGCGTGCCGGGTGCCTGTGCTTTGATCTCATCAGCGGATTTCACCTCATTCTCCCGTCAGTCCAACCCCGCCGTCATCAGATGCCACTAATCACGCCTCATCGTATCATCACTGCGCGACAACTCGTACACGGGGGATGAGGTCATCATTTTGGCAGGGAATATGTTTGTGTCTAATTAAGCTGCCTGACGTCACGAGCAACACTCGCGTCCTTCTATTTTCGAAGATAGTCGGCTTGTTGCGTGCGCTTCTGAAATCGTCACTTTGTCAGAATGGTTCTTACGCATGTTCTCAAGGCTGCACGGCAAGCGTTTGTCTGGTGTATACCGCCTCCACTTGAGAAGCTGTTATCTTCCCCCCACTGAACCACCAGAAAATAGAATAATGTAATAAATGAATAACATTTCATTGAACACAAGTAGGTCAGTGCTCCTGATAGTGCTCGCAGCGGCAGCGAAGGCCACCTCTGCGTTTTGATCATCTTTACATGCAGATGCAATGCGGCTTGTCTATAATGAGTTTATCGTCTGATTCTTACTGTCGTGTGCTTTCTCGTTACCCTTATGTGTTTATATATATTTACATTTGTTTTGCCCTTGCCAGTGTTTTATTTCAGTGATTTTTTTTCTTTTTTTTTCCTTTCTCAAATTGACCTGCAGGTATGCGTATCCTGGTGAACCTGCTGCTGGACACTCTACCCATGCTGGGCAACGTTCTCCTGCTCTGTTTCTTTGTCTTCTTCATCTTTGGAATCATTGGCGTGCAGCTGTGGGCGGGGCTGCTTCGCAACCGCTGTTACCTGGAGGAGAACTTCACCCTGTAAGCGATTACAGCATTTCAAATTGAATTGAGGAAGGCAGAGCCTTTTTGTCACTTGGAACACACTTCCCGGCCTTTTATAAACATAACTCTTACAACTATGCTAAAGTAATACTGTATACACATTTTAAAATGATGGCAAAATGACAATAAACTGCCAGTTCCAACCGTGCCATTAAAATCCATGTTCAGGCTGAGCACAGGAAAAGGCTTGAACACTTTCCAAGCACTTCCAAACATTAACATCGGGGAGGAGGGACAGGAACAAGTCATTGTCACTGTCCTTTATTTGACCTAAATGACAAAAATCAATCATTTCAAAGTATTCTAGCATTGTTTGTTTGGGTTCTCGCCACCTCAAAGCGTTGCCTTCTCTCTCCTTCTAAGAATAGGATGACTGCTCCGCTGCATGCCAACGTATTCACGACACGCCAACACGCCTGCCGCCGATTCTGTGTCACAATGACTTTCACCTCGTGTGTCTGAGGGTTTGATTACATGCCATTCATTCCCTTGATTCTTTTTTCACGCTGCTAGCGCCGTAACAACTAATAGAAAAAACACATTCCGTAGAACGCGTGATCTCATACGTGTGTTCTAACTCGTCTGTAAGATCGTAATTGTGCTTTGTTTCTTGTCCGGGGAATGCTGAAGCAGCGAGCGGTAATGACAGTTGTAATAGTTAAATGGAAAGCGGATTTGTATCTGCCAGTGAACAAGGACCTGTCTGCTTCCTCCTCTTAAATTTAAGTGCTGAAATTTACTGAAGTGAAACCTCTTCAGTAACTTAATGAGGTAACTTGAACCAGTGCAATTTTGTCGCGCTTCATTTGGCTCAAGAGGCTTTTTCGTTATTTGTGTTTTGTTAGCTCTATCGTCGTTATTTGTTTATTTATTTTGGGTGGGGGGGACAAGAATGGTTCGTACGCATTTGCTGACCAATGAGGACTTTTTTGTTTTATGAGATACGTTATTAGGGTAGAAGAAGTGTAATTTTCCATGGAATTGAAACCCGGAGGAGAAAGCGGGTGCTTGAGTGCTTAATTAGAAAGGTGCGAGCGAGTTAGCACTTGAGCGCCATTATGCTAAGTAAAGAGCTAATGTCTCCTCCCTGAGAGGCAACAATGGAGTGTCACAGTCAAGTGCCGCAATCACTTTGCCATCTGACACCTTCTGTCGCTTCACGGTTTTGTCTCGCACCTTCCAGCCCGTGCTCCCTTTTTTTCACTCGCGAGTCTTGTTTTAAGTCACAATTGTACCTTTTTTTTGTCTTCTTCTGTACCTATTTTTATGTTTCATTGAGATCGCTGAAAGTAAGTCATTATTTCATGCCTTACTGCGGAGCTTGTCATGCGAATAAAATTCGTCAGAGCTCAAAATAATTCGTTTTGAGCTAAAATAAATCTGGATGGAGACTATTAGCCATACCTAACTTAACGAAGCATTCTTCTTGAAAAATTCGACAACGCCCTTGTTTGACCCCTGTGGATCGTGCAGTTGTACCAAATGAAGTGTACGATGCTGTATGTCCTGATACCAACTTCGGATGATGATTCCTCCTTTTCATTTGACTAAATTTGACAGCTGCTACTCCTTGAACCCTCTCTGCTGCTCACGCTCCACCAGCAGGTGTGTTCTCAGTGTGATGCCAGACATTTGTCACGGCCACATTGCGCAATACAGACTCGCGCGTGTGTTCATTTGAGCTCTCGTACTTTGACAGAGGCTTGTCTCCGTTTTTCTTTTGTTCTTGAGCCCCAGTCTCATTAGCACGTGCATTGAGGGTGGAGAGCAGAAAGCATGGTGTGTGCCCTTCTGCCCGGCAAGCATATCACACATGGCGTTGTTGTCACGAGAGCATCATTGATTGGGAAGAACTGAAAAGGCCACAGGCTTGTTGTTAACGAATGGTTCCGCTACAGTTGTGATGCAACCGGCGCGCTTGAAATTGGCGCATCCCCCCGGCTGCCAATGCAGCAAATGCGTTGCCGCTCGTGTAGGCGTGCACACCCATGGGCACCTATTCATAGCGCCGAGAATTGCTGGTGTGTGCGCGCACGCGGTTTGTCTTCAGCGAGCCTCTCTTCCTAGTGCACACAAAATGAGAGAGAGGAGAAAGGAGCAAGGAGACTGGAGAAGAATCAGACCTCAGTCTCCCTCTTTACTTCACAGCCATGTCTGAATAAGCACGCAATCGTAGATAAGCACCAAGGCATTTTTTATTTTTTGTATCACCTGCAACGTTGAGGATTTTTATCATCAAGATATGAAATTTGTTTCACCTAAGGCAATAAAAATTCAATGTGCTACATCACTACCCTGAAAGAAAAATGGTGTGTTGAATTTACCTAATTTAATTTTGTCAAGTGGCTGCACAAAATAATATCATCGGGATCCGGATACATTTTTTTTTTAAGTACAGAGTCTACTTTAAAAAATGTGTCTGGCTCCAGATGATTTCATTTCATGCAACCACCTGACGAAATGAAATTGATGGAATTCGACCAAAACTTTTTTCAGCATACTTTGTGCCTCAATTATTGAATTGGCGTTCCCCTATAAATTTAAGGAGGGACATATTATGGCGGGGGGGCTCACGCCAAACTCAAAATGCATCATTCACTGCCGTTTTAGCCACGCTGAGGGCATCGGACCGCGCCAACCTGCAAATAGTCAGAATCCGCGAATAATTTATTGACATTATTATAAATGCTTGAATTTTTCGAACTCAACAGAAAAGATGCATGGCGTAAGGGGATGGCCATAAATCTTGAACGCATCTTTTGTCCTCTGAATCGTCCTCAGGAAAAGGTTGAGGGACCTTCGGCTGTTTGGTGATCATGACTCTTGGAAATGACCTCCTTCCTCGAAGTCAGCGTGTTATAGGGCATAAACCGGTGGCAGACGTGGCGTGAAAGATAGCTATTTTAGTGTGTGCCCATTTAAAGTGGCACTTACGAGACACAGTGTGGGTAATAGTGTGCTGCTTGGGGTGGTCAGGGCAATCAGTCAGATTCATTATTTCGAGTCATAATGCAAGGAGCGGCTAAAGACACTCGCTGCCTAGTTGCTTAAGAGGTAAGAGGTTGTCAATGGAGGAGAATAAGCTACTTTTCCGCTGATTTCATGCTCGGGCTCACACACTTGCATAGTATCATATTCACTTTCCACATGACTTAGTTTTCATGATTGAACAATCTGTTGTCGGCTGCTATTTTTTTTTTCTTGTGTTGCGTGGCTATTTCGGTAGCAGAACATCGTTCCATAAATCTGACATAAAGTATGGATGCTCTGGAAGAACAGTGGAAGAAAATGTTGTAAGAGTTTCCATTACACATTCCCAAGCTTCTTTCATCGGTAATCTCTTGTCGCTTTTTAGAATCCCTCGCTTGAAAAGGCGATGCAGGATTTTCTCCCTGTTACAACCCCGGTCAAATGAGGTCCTCTGGTACAGTGGAACGTCACCAGTATTGGAACATTTTTTGTTCTTCCTGACAGAAACAGAGTTATTATATGATGTTTTGGGTTTTTTTTGGTTTTGTTTTTGTTCCCAATAATTGCTGTAAAGGATCCTATTCAATAAAACACGCCCTGCTTGATTCATTCTGACAGCTAAGCTAATAGTGAAATTAATTCCTTTGCCAAGCAACAGACCAGACACAGGCCCTGATTTCACGCGACTTTTTTTTTTCCGAGCTGTTCATCCAAAAATGAGTCACATTTCACATCAGAAAATGTTTTATTTAGTGTGTTCAATAGTCGTGTGAGTGCATAGTTGCGATTAAAAAGTCGCAGAACGCTGTTCAGCTTCAACAAAATGGCAGCGCTACTCAGACTAAGCTAGCATTAGCACTGCAAACGCGCTGATCTTACCCATAGCTGCTATGATGATTGTATGACTATAATTTATTTTTTGAGATACACAATCGATTAAAAATTGAAAACAGTGTGAAATTTACCTGTCAAGCAGAACTGTTACTAATTCTGCATCGCTTCTACACCCTCAGATCCCTGAGGTCCCTTTTTTCCATCTTTGTGATATTATGCCCCAGTGTGAGCAAATGAGAGAAGGGCATTTTTTTTCTACCCCAGAGGTAGATATTCCAACATAGGTGCAGGGAAAGCTCCTGAAACTTAAGATGACTGGTCAACCCGAAGCTGCATGATTTTTTTTTTTTTTTTAATGCTGATGTACGGCATATTGCTGAGATGGAGGATGATTTCTCTTCAGGCCACTCCTTTTGTCATGTACTGACCCAACACATGATCGCCCACCTGGATTCCACACTTGTCAGCATGCCTTTGCTTTGCTTCGTTAGCTTTTAATCTAGTTTGCAAGTTCACTGCGAGGTCAGGCTGTTTCCTTCTTCTCTCTCTTTCTTTCTGCCTCTCACACAAATCCACGTTATCAAATTGGTCTTTTATTTAGAGCTATTTCACAAGATATGAAATGACGAAACCTGTGAATTACCGATTTGAATACCCCAAATTAAAATAATTATAGAAGCATTTATGCTTACCTTATATTCTTGTCTCAGCTCTTCAGGAATGACCCCGCCACCTCCGTACTACCGACCCGAGGAGGATGATGAGCGCCCTTTCATCTGCTCACTGGCATCTGACAACGGCATCATGTCATGTTTCGACGTTCCCGCGAGGCGACAAGGAGGCCAGACATGCTGCCTGGACAAGGAAGACGCGCTCCACAGACAAGCTCTGGGTCTCAATCCTGAGCCCATGGTGAACGGCAGCGGCGCCGGCGACGCCACGGGCCTGTGCATCAATTGGCACCAGTATTACACCCGCTGCCACACGGGGAGCACCAACCCCCACAAAGGTGCCATCAACTTCGACAACATTGTCTATGCCTGGATTGTCATTTTTCAGGTATTTTATTTTTTTTTGAACTTGTTTTCTGTACTTTGCCACTGCTTGAACAGTTATTTTATGATGTGGATCATGTTTACTCCTTTTCCTTATAGGTGATCACTCTGGAAGGCTGGGTAGAGATAATGTATTACGTAATGGATGCCCACTCCTTCTACAACTTCATCTACTTCATTTTACTCATCATTGTAAGTAATGTATTGGTTTTTTAAATTTTTTTTATTTTTAATGCTTTTCTTACCTGCTGACGCCACCATTGTGATGAATGTAACAATCACGACTTATCAGTAAATAGGTCCATTTTAGCAGGTGTGTGATCATCAACTGATAAATCTGTATTTTGATGTATGCTGATTCAAATTGGGAAATCTTGTCTTTTTTTCCCCCGGTGGTATAAAGGGTCAGGTACTGATTGGGCAAAGTCATTTGTTGTATAGGTGTTTGCTGTTGGGCCTTTCTCGCATATGATCCACGTTTTTCTTTTGTTGTTGTTGTTTTTTTGGGTTATTGAAGCTAGAAATCACTCTGTTGACAGCCCAGTGTGTGCAGCAAACGTGAATCATTTTGTTTGTTTCAAACTCAGCCGTCTTCCACTCCAGGTGAGACAGTATAAGATGTCATTTGGGATACACGTCTGTTTTAAATGCATGTCTCAATACAGAGAGGGGAAAAAAAACAGAGCCATATGTAATTGGACAACCAACTCATGTTGAAAATGGGGAGCAGGCTTTCAGTATTTGCTTCATGTTCAATATACCACACACAATGACTTTTACAGCATATCAAAGCAAGATAAACAGAGCTAAATAATCCGTGCATTTGCCTCTTGGGCTTCCTTTCAAGGATTCCCATGCAGATCGACGACCCAAAAAAGAAACTTCACCTCCAGTGTATCAAATGCATCATCATTTCGTTTCTGTCTGACACTTGATCTACGAAGTCAAGTGTGCAGCCCAAGTGTCAGTCTTTGCATCACTCTGAAGAGTAAACAGCTGTACGTTATTGAGACCGGCTGACATGGTGGCAATTATTTGGAAGTGTGTGTGCATGTGTGTAAAAGTTGAGACATAAACGCATGTGACAGCAGCTGCACAAAAGCGTAAAAACAATCAGCTGCAAACAAAGCCTGCCATCTTAATTTGTCTGCGTGTGTGTGTGTGTGTGGGGGGGGGGTCTAGCATGCATAATACAGTGATCCTCTGAATGCTGATACTGGACTGCCCTCTCTAATTATGCAGAAAGCTGTCTATGATCTGATCAAATGCACATCACACGCACGCAAGCACGAACATGGCTGGAGGGGAATCAAAGCGCCACACACCTGCAGAACTGTTTGACCTACAGGCCACAGATGTAGCCTGCCAACCGTGCTCAGGGAAACCTTCTCCTACATCTTTGTTTCATGACAGGTGGAAAGTTACTAGTTATGTTCTCTTTTTTTAATCCCATCATGATCAACATGAAAATAAAATAACCTCTTAAAAAGCCAGGCAGAGGTTTAATTCTTTAAAGTCCATCAACGCTGCATATAAATATAAAATAAAGACCAAAAAAATACTAATGATTAAATGCAAATGTGTTGTACTTTAAAGTTAAATATAACTGAATAGTATGAAACAAATGTACCGTAGTGGTTTAAAAAAATGTCTCATGTCATGCACATGTATTTGGTGTTCCATTAGAAGCAGCTGCTAGTGAGAGTCACTGCAGTCTGTCGAGTAGAATGCCAATGAATGTATCAGGATGTTTCCTATAATTCATTGTATCAATATGAAAACAGCAAAGTTACCTGAATTTACTTCTTACATGCTATTGAAGTGCTCACGAGAAAAAAAAAAGGTGAAACAAGTCGCAATGAGCTCGTCAAAGCTGGGTTTTTTTTAATGTCAGAGTTCTTTGCCAAGAACGTGAGTTCTGTTTTAAAGCCACGGTCAAATGGACTGAAGCAGGAACATTGGTTAAGGGAGAATAAAGGAAGAGATACTCTAAGCAAGGTAGATTTTTGGAGTGACTACGTTGTTAAGCGACAGAAAAGGTGAAATGAAAAGACCGACCAAGTCAGTGCTGTGCTTTGGGGCATGTGTTGGCCCCGTCTGTCTGCTCCAATCAGCCTCGCTTTGGTAGAAAGTCGGCCCTCCAAGACCTTTAGCATGCGTGCTAACATTTCTGCAGGCGGATTGACGTACTTCATCAGAATCAGTGAGCGTGTGTGAAAACAAGTCAGTCTTTATTTCCGCACCAAGCACTTTGTTTGGCTGGAGTAACTGTCAAATCCACCAAATGTTGCGTCGGGGTTTACTTCGCTGCGTTGAAAGTCAATCATTTTCCTCCCATGTCCACGCAGATCGGTTCCTTCTTCATGATCAACCTTTGCCTAGTGGTCATCGCCACTCAATTTTCAGAGACCAAACAGCGGGAGCACCAGCTGATGCAGGAGCAGAGGGCACAGTGCCTATCCTCGTCCACCCTGGCCAGCATGGCGGAACCGGGCGATTGCTATGAGGAAATCTTCCAGCTGGTCTGCCACGTTCTGCGCAAGGCCAAGAGAAGATCAGCGGCTCTCTACTACACGCTGAGGGGCAAGCCCCCGCCTGCTGGTGGAGGCAGGGGCAACAGGCGGGGTGGAATCAATCAGAATGGAGAGAGGCATCACCCGAGGCATCCGAAATGTGAGTAAGATATCCGCGGCTCAGTGAACTCAAATTGACATGGCTGTGTGTTACAATTAAAGGGTTGCAGTCCTTTGGGGCCGCCTCCAAAAGCCAAGTCACCTTGCGGGAACAAATCTTGATACATGGTTGTTTGCTGTTTTAAAATGACGAGCAAGTTTTAAATGTAACCTCGCTTCACTCGTGCACCCAAAACACACCGCTGGCATATGAGATGTGCACAGCACCGCAAGTCGAGGTAAGCCACATAAGATTAGTAGCGTTACTTATTCATAACAACTGTTGGCAGATGATGATTTCCGTACAAGCGCACGGCTCACCGTGCGTTTGGCGATTCGGCAGAAGAGTCACCACCAAGCTGCGCTTGCCGGCGCAGCATATGGAGTGTCGCTGGAGTTTGCGCCTGGCGGAGTGACAATTTAGTGGCGGAAAAGTCGATCACACTTAAGCTTGCCGGCGCTGCCTGAATGACTGAACAAGTTGTTCAAACACCCATAATCACTAAATATCTGGGGAGACTCATCCTGTCTCAAATCACGGACGCTCTTCCCGACGACTTCGATCCCCACCAGTTTGCGTATGAGACCGAAAGGACAACAGAAGACGCACTCAACACAGCCCTCACCCACGCAATGCTAATTTGTGAGGGTGCTGTTTGTGGATTTCAGCTCCGCAGCAAACACAGTGGTACCACTGGTGCACCTCAGGAATGTGTACTCAGTCCCCTCTTCTGCTTGCTCTTTACACACGACTGCCTTCGCATTCATCTCATCACCACGATCACATTTGCTGATGACGCCACCCTTGTCGGACTGATCAGGGACAAAAGTCAGCCTAATGGATTTTTCATTGTTCCTGTGACAGTGAAAATAGTTCAATTTTATTTTATCATATTCTATTCTAAAAAAAAAAAAAAAGATGCCACGTTGGAAGGACATCACAGTGCTGCACAAAGAATCTCGCAGGGGTGGCAAAAGTACTCATACTCTGCACTTCAGTAGAAGTACAGACACACACTATAACAATTTACTAATTCAATCCCTTTACTTAAGTAGGAGTTAAAGAGGAAAAAAAGTTTTTACACCTAAATATATTTAAGTGTCACGTGGTTGACTGGTTAGCACGTCGGCCTCACAGCGCAGAGGTTGCAGGGTTCGATTCCGGCTCCGGCCTTCCTGTGTGGAGTTTGCATGTTCCCTCCATGCCTGCGTGGGTTTTCTCCGGGTACTCTCGCCAAGAGCCATTTTGCACGGTGGGTTACTTCATTGATTTGTCTACATCTCCACAGTCTCCCACTGCCCACACCAAAGCAAGCAAGACCACGAGTTCCAGCCACTCGACAGCTCCGTCAGCCTGGCCGTGCCTCAGAATCCGCAGGACTGCCCCTTGTGCGCTTTAGCACTGGAAGAAGGCCCGAGGACTGCGGGAGATGCCGCCAGCGGAGAGGACGACGAGGGGGATGCCGTGGAGGAGACGGACAAGGAAGAGAACCATTTGGAGGAGAGGGGTGATGCCGGTGAAGGGAAGAAGAAAAAGAAAAAGAAAAGAAGCTGTTTTGGACACTGTAAGGACGTGTGGGATGAAATGAGGAGAAAACTGTGGGGCATCGTGGAGAGCAAGTACTTCAGTCGGGGCATTATGATTGCTATTCTCATCAACACCATCAGTATGGGCATCGAACATCACAATCAGGTAAGAGGTTTTCTCTTGATGCATGGATATCACAGACCAACAAAAAGAAATAAGAAAGAAAAGTAAGAGTGATAACCAAGGGGTGAGAAGAGGTTTCAATGGGGCCGACCTTGCGAAGAAAGCACCCGCAAACACGGGAGGCGCGTGATGCAATGCTCGCACCCGCGTACAAGGACGTTCACTTGAATTTTTTTGCATGGGTATCGAGATTTTGCTGTTTTTTGTATTCCTCCCCTCCTGCCTCCCTTGCTGCCTCGTCTAATTATTTTCTCCAAGAATGCCTTCACACGCCGCTTAGCCCACTTTGCTTCCCGCCTTGCTAGCAGTTTTCCTTCCTGCCATCCTTCCTTCCTGCTTCACCCCAAGTGTCTTGGCTTCTCTCTGACTCTCTCCGTCTCTCCGCTTCTGCCTCTTTCCCGTCCACCCCCGCACTCTTTGACAGTGTACGGAATAGTTGCTTTCTCCTGTCTCTGAAGACTCTAAAAATAAACGAAGGCGAGGGAAGGGGGGGGGCGGTGGGAAGAACGAGACAGACTCCAGTTACGCAGCGTTTTTTTGTTTTTTTTTTGGGCGCGATTTTTTTTTTTTCCCGCGAGTTAGTGCGTGCGCATTTCAAAGCAAGGCATATGTGCAAGCACATGCGTTTGCATGCGCAGTCTCGCCGATGCTTTTGTCGGTGTCTCCTTTGAGCCTTGCCGCTTCGAACACAAGCGGTGATACCATGATGTGGCTGTTCTGCAGCAGCAAACTCCAACCTGGTCTAAAACGCTGACACAGATGCGATCACGTTCTGTTTTAATTGTCACTCCGCGTTTTGGTGACCTTTATTTCGGTGACCTTTATTTCGCTATGAGTCGGGCAAAACATCGAATGAGAAATTGCTCACGCTATGATGCAGTTCGGTTTCTCCACACCAGCACTACAACCGCAGTCATCAACGTTATACGGAATGACTACTTCTCTGACAGCGTCGAATTTTAGAATTATCATGACATTTTTTTAGAACGGATGGCCCTCGCTTTGACTTTTATTAGATGCACGTGTTCACTGTAGAAATCCATCAAGGCATTTAAGATAGACTGCCATATTCGATTCAGACTTTGTTTCATCACCGATATACAAGGACACTAAAGTTGACGGCAAACGTGAGCGTGTGTTTTACTATCACGGAGCGTTTTTTTTCTGGCTTTTCAAAAGCCAGATGCAAAAGCCAAGCGCGCCATGAGCCAAAGCGCTGCAGACACAAACTAACAGGGGACACCACTTTGGCAAGAGTGCATGTTTGTGGCTCTTGGAACATTCCAGATGTGTTTTCAGATAAATGGATCAGCTTCTATGGTGCTCAGTTGTCTCGGTGGACTTTTTTTTTATCCGAGCAACATTTTTTTTTTTTTGCCGCAACTGTGCTCACTGCATTGAGACTGATTTGCTTCCACCGGTTTTTCTTTCCTCTCCTCTCGCCTTGGCCCGTTCTACCGCCTTTTTTCCCCCCTCTGTGATCGACAGGACGATATTGATTTTGAAGCGATGGGCCTCTTTGATAATGAGAGTTTGAGAAAAAAAAAAAAAGGAAGGAATAGTGGCATTAGGAACCTGGAGGGGATGAAGATAGATTGGGAGGAAAAAGCGGATTAAAGGGGTGGACGGAGGTGCGCGAGTGTACTTTTCCTCTGACACGGTCTGCCAGCTTTGGCGCAGCTTGTTGGCTCTTTTTCTTTTTTTTTTTTTTGTCTGCTGACGTGGGAGTTGGAAATCTGTGGCATCAGAAGAAGTTTGCGATCCATGTCATGCACGACACACATCCGTGCTCGCTGAAAGCAAGTAAGCGTGTACGCATCCCACAACAAACATTTGAGAAAATAAGCCTGGTTGTGGTGCCTTTGTTGTTTCCTTTTTCCACTCCTCCTTTTATCTCCCGACGCCACTAATCCATAACTGCTCCAGTCGGTTTTTATCGGCTGCAATATCGGCACAAATCCGAGTCCACACGTTGAGCCACTACTCCGCGTTGACGGTGAGAGCCTGAAGTCGATGAATCGGCAATCAAGAGTTTGGCATTTACAAGACGGGCGCCTCGTAAAGAGCAACAGATGACAAAGGTGCAGTGTCCGTGCAACCTTTCTGAGCAGCGGTGCCTCAAGCATGTTGGCAATCTGGTAGCAGAGTTGGAAAGTCACCCGCCAACTCACCAGCCGAACAGCCTAAATATTAATAATGTCGTTTCATAACGTTTTGCATCATGATTCTAAAGCCATCAACCTTGCTCAGGTGCACGTTCTCTGTTTGGTGTTTTGTTGCGTTTCCCTTACGCAGCCAGAAGAGCTCACCAACGTGCTGGAGATCTGCAATATTGTTTTCACCAGCATGTTCACCCTGGAGATGATCCTCAAGCTGACGGCCTTCGGCTTCTTTGATTACCTGAGGAACCCCTACAACATCTTTGACGGCATCATCGTCATCATCAGGTGAGATGGGCGGGGCCGGGGGTTACGTTTTTTTTTCATACTTTATGAACGGCCTTCAGAATCACCTTTTAATCGCTCCGGTTCAATGTGTGTTTACAGTATCGTATTTAACTTTTACCGCACTTAATTAATCCATTTGTGGAACATATCCGCCCACTTTAAAAACTGCGGGCTTATCTTTTACACCTCGAACCTTTAAGGACTTGACGCTTTGACCCGTTACGCCGTTCTCATAACTACCTTCTTGCATCCATTCCCAATGGGCGTTGGGCGCACCGCAGCGTCTGTGAGATTATCGGGCAAGCGGATGGCGGCTTGTCGGTGCTGAGGACCTTCAGGCTGTTGCGGGTCATTAAGCTAGTCCGGTTCATGCCGGCGCTCAGGCGTCAGTTGGTGGTCCTGATGAAGACGATGGACAACGTGGCAACCTTCTGTATGCTGCTCATGCTCTTCATCTTCATCTTCAGGTACCAAGGGGCCGTGTCTCATATTTGCTTGTGCTTTGCTGTTTATTACTGTGCGTATATCTTCATCGAGTAATATGTGCCTCGTTCAAAAGGCTTTCAAAGCAGCTATAAATTGCGGTGGAATATAAAACATCCTCTGAGGGAATAGACGATTAAAGTCCCGTGTAGTCGTAGAACAGACCAAGCAGACATACGGCCAAAAGCCTGAAAATTGTTTGTGCAAAACTAAAGGATTATGTTCATGATTAAAAAGTGTGAAGTCATAATTTCCCCCCAAATCCGGTATGTCTCAGCAATTCTCTCTTTGGCTCCACTTGCTTTCCTTTGACCATAAAAGTGATGGTTATGCTCTTGCTAATTTGACTGTCTGCAGACTGTAAAGAACGGAACCGCAATAAAACGTGAAAGACGTTTTGGCTCACTTAAACCAAAAGACAACAGCGACTCCAAATAGGCCTCATAGAAAAAATCCCAACTATGTGCACGCAGCAGGGTAAATTGCTGACGACTTGACCGTGAATATGGTCGATCATCCAAATCTTTACAGTAGATTAACGAGCAAATCTATCACAGGACGATGCCCAAAACTTTGGTGCTATTGAGCCTGTCTGTTTGATTAGCCTTCCCCAGGGAATTCCGCTAATTTTTTTTTTTTTTTTTTTTTACTTGAATGCTACCCATGGCGAGCATAACATGAATTAAAGAATATGGGCTTTTAATGAGCAATAAATGCACAGTACATAAAAACTCTGCAAAGTGAAAATAAATATTGTGATTTTGACACTCCACGGAGATGGGTCCTAATGAGCAACTTTCAAATGATTACAAAAAAATCGCCAGGTATATTAAATGAGTCTTAATACAAATTATGAAAAATCAAACTTCTTCCTACTGGGTAGAATCGAACCCACCGGGTCGTTGCGGGGCTTGCCATGGCACCGCAACAGGTGCTAGCCACCAGTTAGCTTGCGATCTAACTGCCCATCCTCTCAGCAGGCCCGACGAGCGGCGGGCTCGGCGCGGCGTCGCCTCCCTGCTTGTTGTTGTATCACTGTGTGAATCCACATATTGGAGGAACTCGAAACATTTAGTTGACGGGGGTATTTCAAAAGAGAGATGTACAAATACATTGTGAAGCTAGCAAACAGATGGAGGATAGCCCGGCTCGAGGATTGAGATGTTTACTTTTTCCTTAAGCGTTTCTTGTTTTACAGTATCCTGGGGATGCACATCTTCGGTTGCAAGTTCAGTCTGAAGACAGATGCGGGCGACACCGTGCCTGACAGGAAGAACTTTGATTCCCTCCTCTGGGCCATTGTCACTGTTTTTCAGGTACAGATCTTAAACACCTATTCAAATATCCTCTTTGGAAAATGCGTTATTCACAGTGTGTGTGTTTGTGTGTGTGTGTGTGTGTACTGATTTGTAGATTCTGACTCAGGAGGACTGGAATATGGTGTTGTACAACGGCATGGCTTCCACCTCTCCCTGCGCTGCCCTCTACTTTGTGGCACTGATGACATTCGGAAACTATGTGCTCTTCAATTTATTGGTGGCCATCTTGGTAGAGGGTTTTCAAGCTGAGGTACGACAACACCGGTACAGCACTCCAGTCGCAAAACGGCTTGCGCAACCAGGGATTCCTAGTCCATTAATACATACCTCATTAAGACGGCTCTGGAATATATACCTCGTAGCCTTACCATTTCACAAATGGTATGTAAAATGGGTTCTCGAAAAAAAACAGTAAATTGTCCCACGGTTGGTTGGTTCCAGGACGCCCGCGACCCTCGTGAGGATAAGCGGATTGGAAAATGGATGGATAATCACAACAATACATACCACATCTACACCTGTGGCAACGCAACGAAACAAGATCATTTACTTCCATACATTGAAATAATATAGACCATATTGGCTTGGCCCTTCTCAAGTGTTGCAGTTTTCTCTTGTGGTTCCTTTGCAAAATTAATTGCCCGCCCTTGCTCGATTGGAAGTAAGATCATTTGCAAAACGAGCCCAGCAAATGAAATAAGCAAAGGACACGTCCGGCAATAACTCTTTATCATTTGCTTGTGATGACAACATTGCACGTATTAATCTCACTCTGCTGTCACCGTCCTCATGCAGGGAGATGCAAATCGCTCTTACTCCGATGATGACAGGTCTTCCTGCAATTTTGAGGACAACGATAAGCAAAAGGACTCTCCTCATCTCTCAGGTTGTTATTCACAGAACAGTATTTCAGATCGTGACATGGTTATGAATAACAATTCAAATAACCAATTGTTGTGATTGTTTTAGGTATGTACTTCTCCTCCCCTTAACAAACAAGCAACTCAAAAATGTGCGTCCAGAAACGCCCAACACATGCTAATGTTTTCTTCTGATTCCATTTTCTCACCTTATCTTAGCATCTTTGCCTTGTCCGCGGAGCACAATCGACATTTCTCTTCACGACTCTTCTCTTTTCTCCCTCTTGGCAAAAACAAAATCATTCCATTCAATAAATTAGCATGTAGCAGCACATTAAAACCTTTACTATTTAAAGATTGGAAAACGTGCTGGCAGCCTTGTCACCATTACGAGCCCATCTCTGGCTCTTTCAAGGTGATTCAACTTGGATTAAACCTTCCTGTCTCTGTCTTAACTGGCCATTATGTCACTTGGGGAAATGTATTCTTGAAAGTAATGGAGTTGAAATTCAGCTCACCTCTCCGCACTAATGTCGAGGTAAAAAGGAGAAGAGAAATGTCTCGATCTGTTTTCACGTGCTGTGCGGCTCTTTCGTTTATTTTCATACACAATAGCCTTTCCACTTGCCTTTCCACACAGACCCAAAGATCTGCACGCTGACCCCTAATGGCCACTTGGACTTGGGCCCACTGCCTGCCAGCCTATTTCCTGGAGAGAGGCTGAGCTTTGCTCTCGGGTCGAGGAAAAACAGTGTCATTTCTCTTGGCAGGGCCAACTTGGAGCAGAAAGCCGCGGTAAGCGAACAAGACCCACAAAGACCCACAAATCTTTTGTGACAGGGGATTGATTTGGGCTTTCATGTGGCATATGGCATTTTTATTTGGATATTACGGCGTATATTTTGCTGCCTGTATATTTTTGCAGATTGCCTGAATGTTGGTGAATCTATGAAAGACTTTTTTTTTTCAGCAGCAAATCATTGGTTTTATCGTGGCTTTTTAATTTGCAAAAGCAACGAGACGATTGAGTAAAAAGGCCATTTCGTTGATTGAAAATGCACTGTATGGAAAGTTTTGAGGCACTGTTAATTATTTAATCCAGTGGGGGTTGGTTAAAACATTTTGGTTTTGCCGTTGAATCCTAATCCTTCTATTTTCAAAGTCATTTCAAGCAATTCTACAGATGAAAAATTGACTCTAACATGCGTCAGAATCTAGACATCTTTACTAGCTGAGCGGATTTCCGTCAAAAGTGCCGGTTGTACCAAATACCTTTGTGTATACAAACGGGTCAGGGTCAAAGGGGTCAAAGGTTTTGTTTTTCTTTATTGAAGAAAAAACCAGTTTAGCCACTGG